TACTTCAAGAAAATGCAAGAAAATGCAGTACTAAAAAATTAATATAAAATTCTGAAAAATTCTCAAAGCTCTATGAGAACAAAATAAATAATTTTTATCTCTTGATATTTTTCGGTAAAGTTGATAGAATTCAAGTAAAAAATTATTGAAGTATATATATATATAAACATATATAAATATATATTTGATGAATATATATTTGAAAGATGATAATTTATAGTAACATTTTAAATACATATATAGGTACACATTTAAATATTTATATATCTCATTTTATTTGTACATCTCTATTAGATAAACTGATGTATAAATAAAGCACTCATAAAAAATAGTTTCTTCTTTTTTGTTATATTGTATAATTAATTTTTCACAGTGATTTTTAAATAAAGTTGAATAATGTATAGAACCATAATTTTGTCCAATAGTAAATTTATGAGTGATCTTCTTCATGCACTATTGTGAAAACATTTAACATTTAACAACTACCTTAATTGCCACCATAAAAATTTGAAATAATTCATTTGATTACTCACGAATAAAATATATATTTTTAAATAATACACTAAATTTTTTAACAGTATGCAATATATGCTATATGAAATTTCAAAATTATGAAAGCATTATTTTATGGGAATATTTCAAAACAGCATTGTGCAATAAATGATGTTTATAAGCACTTTTAGCATAAAAATAAACTAAACAAACAACCTATATTTGAGACTTTACACTTAATTTATTCATTTGTGAAACGGTCTTCTATTAGATGGTGCTGGTAATCTATATTTTGCTAATTCTACTTCAGCTTCTCCAATTGTGTCCACATGATAACAAAAATATTCAGGATTTTTGTATTCTTTCATTTTGGAAGCACCTGGACCTACAGCTGAGAACATTTAAATATAAATGAGTATTTTAACTTTACTGCAAATGGACTACAAAATAATATTTGTTCTTACGAATATTTGGTACTTTAACACATCTCTCACTAAGACCCTGTACATTAGTATTCACAGTGGGCTGATTACTAACTCCATCCAAAATTTGTATGCTAAATGTCCGAAGAGGAATAACCATCATTCTCTGAAAACAACAATAGTTTTTTTTGAAAATGAGAGACTGTGAACCAACGAGCAAACTAAACAATATTAATCAAATACAATCAATTATTTCTAACACACACCTGTAACAGCACACGTTTCGTTATAACGTATAACATTTTGCGATAATTGTAATAACAATACAGAGATAAAATACAGAGACAAAAACCAAGCTTATTCACGTGCCCTTTTGACGATTATTTGTCCTTGTCATTTCTACCCAAAGTTACCTGATTCTAGAAGCATCCATGGAGTAAGAATATAAGGTGATGTATTCCGATGGGGAGCGTCCCGATTGACCACGGTACGATTGGACACAACCAACCGATGAGAAGAATTATCTAGTGAATTACTAGGTCGAACCAATCATTACAATCTGTGTCCAATCGTATCGTGGTCAATCGGATCCCACCCATTCCGATGGATGCGCAGTAACTACCAATCAGAAAGTTGTCACAAATTGGAAAAACCCAATGGCTGCCCCTATTATGGCTCCTGCACACAGGACGCATTAATACTTGCCGCGCGGCGGCAGTCCAATCACAAGTCGCTGTTCCAAGGGACCCTACAAATGTCTCTAATCACATGGTGCTGTGATTGGCTGTGTCCAAATGCACCGTGTCCAAGTGCACCGCTCCCTGTAAACCAAGCCATATGGCTCTTGCACACAGAACGCGGTAATGCTTGCCGCGCGGCGGAAGTTCGCGCGACAGCCAATCAATATGTTGTTTTTCCATAAGAACTAGAAAGTTACTACTTACTAGAAGGTTATTTTGTGTTTTTATATTTTCCTTGCAAATCAGATTTTTTTTCTTGTTACTTTAAAAATTATTGAATTTTATATTATAGCAAAGTTGTATAACTTTTTTTTAATGTAATAATTTCCCAGATAGAAATGCGTGATTATCATCCCAGATAGCCAAACTTGTGCGAGCAGATTTTACGCAAAGTCTGTCAACAGTGTCTGTTGACAGAATGGCAACAGACTGCACACAGAAACTGTTTTAGCAGTTTCTGACGACAGATTGGTGACAGACTGCGCGCAGAGCCTGTCGACAGAC